GAACGAGACTACCCTGGTCTCCCAGTCAATCTGGGGGTTATGAGCCCGTAACCACGGAAGCCCCAGAATGACTGGAAAAAAGGGGTGATGCGATGGCATCCAAATGGAGGAGTTCCTGGTGTTGGCTGGCAATGGTGGTGGCAATGGAAGGGGTCTCCTGGTTAACCACCCCTGATCTTATCCGGGACCCATCGGCCAGAAATATGTTGAACCCCTTTTCTTTTGGTTGGAGGGGAATACCCTGCTGGTGAGCAAAATTAATATCTACAAAACAGCTGCATGCCCCTGAGTCAATTATGGCTGTCACTTCCACGGTCCTTTCTGGAAGCTGAAAGGAGAGGGGGCACAACTAAGTATTGGGAAGAATTGACATCGCCAACAGATAAGGAAGAAGAGGTGCACTTACTCAGTTTCTGCGGGCAGGATCGTACCATGTGACCAGCTTCACCACAGTAGAGGCATAGGTTCTGGGAGCGTCTGCGCTGGCGTTCCTCTGGAGATAGCTTAGGTCGCGCCAGGCCTAGCTGCATGGGTTCAGGAGTATCCTCCGGTGGTGGGTTCTGGAAATGTGGCCTAGTGGATTGGCTGGGACCCTGGAAAGACCCCCAAGTACTTCCGCGACCCTGACCGGACCTCTCAAACCTGCGTTCCCGCAGTCTACGGTCAATCTTGATGGTTAGTGCAATTAAGTCTTCTAGCGCCTCAGGCATTTCTACTACCAGGCGAGCTCGTCTTTCAGGGCCTCTGACAGGCCCATACGGAACTGGTGCACAAGGGCAAACTCGTTCCAGCATGTGTCCCCCATCCAACGCCTAAAATCAGAGGCGTACTCCTCCGCCGCCCGTCGGCCCTGCCGGAGTGTGTACAAGGTTGCTTCGGCCTAAGCTGCCCGCTGTGGGTCATCATATAAGATGGCCATTGCGTCAAAAAAAATGTTAACTGAGCCTAGGTGGGGGTCATTGTTCCCTCTCAGTCGGTGGGCCCAGTCTTGGGGTTCACCCTGCAGGAGGGGAGATGACAAACCCCACCTTTACTGATTCCGTCAAAAAAGGTACAAGGTTGTAACTCGAAATAGAGAAGGCAGGACTCACGGAACGACCTGAAGCGTGTGCGGTCCCCGTGAAAACGCTCCGGTAGGGGTACCCGGGGTTCGGCCATAGGAAGTGTCAGGGCTCCCGGGTATGACCAGAGGTGTGTGACTGACGCAGGGAAACGCAGAGACTTCAGATATTATTTAACAGTGCAAACGCAGTGCAATACAAACAGTGCAAACAAACCAAACCACCCACAGATGACAGTACATACAATGCAAGCGTCGTCAGGCAGGCCGGGTCAATATCAATCGGGCAGGTAGGTACAGGGGGAGCAAGCGGAGAATGGTCGGGGTCACAAGCCAGGTTCAGCAGGTAGCGGGCAGCGTGGTACAGAGGGTCAGGCAGAGGAGAATGGTCAGACAAGCCAGGGATCAGGAGCAGGAGAATGGTCAGACAAAGCCAGGGATCAGAGCAGGGTCAGCAACGAATCAGACAGGAACAGGAACAGGGAGCAGGAACAGGATACAGGACCCAGGAGAAACACACACACCAAGGCAGAGTCTGCAGGTCTGGCCATCCCTTAAATACATCCAGTATAATCAGTTCCAGGTGTTTGACTGGCTGCAAGGTTGAGTCTCTGATTGCTGGGAGCATCCGCTGGCCAGCCCTGGTACTGCAGCTCATAAGGCAGGTGAGTCCCACCATTGCTGGCCAGTCCATTCCTGACAGGAAGTGGTGCGGGGGCCCCTGAAGCAGGCTCAGGGGCCGCTACGGGCGGAGGTGCAGGGGACTGGGGCCTGTGGTGCAGGGGACAGATATCGTGCAGGCCTGGAACCGATTTTCAATCTGTAAACACCTGTCCTGTAATACGTTTACAGCTTGCGTGAAGGTAGCCAGGTGCCTACAAACTTCCTCCAGCGGGGAGGGTCCTCCTCGAGGCTCCGTCATGGCCTTCTGGTACTGTAAGGGACCACCCGGCGGTACCACTAGCACTCCACTAAATAGGCGTTCCCAGAGCACGGAGTCTAAGTCCCAGGGTGCTTGTTCACCAGGCCCCTGATGGTGGGGATGGACTTGGAGCCCCCCGAGACCAGGTCGTGACTACTGGGCAAACCCGTTAGTGGTAGTGGTATTTGCCGAGGGCTCCCGCGGGGAAGAGCCTAATATGAGGAGGTCAGAAGACCCCACTGGGAGGGATGGACGGATGGATGGCTGAGCAGGTGCGAGGTCAGACAAGCCGGGTCGGTAACAGGGAGGATGGTATGGTACAAGGCAGCGGGCAGAGAATAGTCGGGTCACACGCCAGGTCAGCAACAGCAGGTCAGATCCAAATAGGGGGCATTCAAGAGAGAGGTCAGGCAAAGCAGGGGTCAGGGCAGGAGAAATACAGCAAGGTCAGAGCACAATCCGGGTCAGCAACTTACAATTCACAGGTTCACAGGATACAGGATACAGGTAAGACCAGAAGGCACTGAATGACAGCTCAGGGCCATTTAAATATCCCACCCTGCGCTGCCATTGGTGCCCGGCCCGGACCTAGTGCCCGAGTCCCTGCACAGGGCGGCGCACTGCGCCTGTGCCGGGACCATCGCGGCGGGGATCGAGGAGATCCCTGACATCACCAAACTCGTGACCGAAGGAACGGCCAATCCAGACCGCGATGTGACGTGCATAACAATGCCACACCCAACTACACAGCGATTTTCCAGCTAATGGTTCTCAATCTGTGCCAGCAGCCTGGATGCGCTTGTTACTGGGTCGGGTTAATTACGCAACTAACCTTTCACTGCCACCACCCCTTTTTGTACATAGAAAGGGGAAACTCTCTTTATCAAATATACACTGTAATGGATTGAAAAGTCGTCTGTCCAATACGGTCACCGCAGGCCGATTGGGCAGAGGATTAAACAAACACAGTAGCGTCTCTTTAGAGGCAGGAATTCGTAAATTGCAATTAAGCGCTTTAGAAACAGTTTAACACTTCAGAAAGAAAGATTTATTACTAAAAGAGTCAAACAGGTGCAATAAAATATTTACAGAAAAAGATGTAACTAAGATATATATATATTTATATATTGTGGGAACTCGCTTCAAATTGGTAGAGCTTCTTCAAAGCACACAGCAACTCGCTTCGTTAAGGGCCTTTTTGCCCAATTTTATTTACAAGAAAGTTCAAATAACAAATGCCTCCCACGCAGGGGTATCCACCATCAAGCAAATTAACAGTTTTCAGCCTCCTGGCTTGTACACAGTTTTAAGTCTACCTCCTGCAGGCTCTTCCCAAAATATGTCACTAGCACACAGCTAGTCTGGCTTCCACCTGACTCCAAGGCAGAGACCTCCCGTCTGCCGGGGTGGAGCCCTCCTGACTCCGTTTGCCGGGGTGGGAGCCTTCCTGACTCCTATCTGCCGGGGTGGAGCCCTGCTGACTCCTAGCTGCCGGGGTGGAGCCCAGAACCCTGGTCCTGACTCTATCTAGAGGCCTGCACACACCTGTGCAATCAGTCTCCTGGCCATTCCCAAAACCTGGTCCCAGGATTGGAGATTTCATCCCTCCCAAATCACTTCGAAATCTCCAGGCTCCAGATCCCAAAACAGACCTTACAAACAAAGGAGGAAAGTGAAAAGCCACTTTCCTCCATATCAAACACTTACCCTGGAGCCCCTCAACCTGCCTAGTTGAGAATCCTGGGTGACAGATCGTCACACTGTCACAATATATATACACACAAAGAACCATAGCACAGCAGCGAGATAATAGGAAGGAAGTTACTTGCCATTTAAGCCTTTGATGTAAGCAGATCCAAGTTGCAGAGCGAAAGGGTCTCCCCAGGTGGTATTGATGTTACAATTGGGAGATGTCTTCAACTTCTCTTTTTGGGCCTGCTAGCCTGTGTTTTAAAGTCCCCCAGCAGGGGGGTGGCTCTGAATAACTGACCAATACTCTGTTTAGGGAGGGATTGTCATAATCCATGATATGAAACATAGGGGACAAACTGACTTGAGGAATGTTCATTTAATTCTGTCACCTTAAGATGCTAGGCTTTATGAGGTTAAAAATCTCTTTCAATTCCTGGGAAAAGCTGCCTTATCTCGGTTACAAAGTGAGAAATTACCCATGTCCTTGGGCAGCTAATCTCTGTTTCTCTTGGGGGGCTTTGTAGCTCTGGGCCCCCTGCTGCTCTACCTGCCAGTGACACTTTTAGAAACACGCACAATCTGTCACTGTGCCTCTCAGAAAGGGAGGGGGGAAGGAGAATGAGAAATGAGAGACACAATATATACTCCATACCAAGATGGAAGTGCTTACAAAATGGTTATTTGAACTGCGTACTTCACTGTGTTTTGCGCAGTTTTTGCGACACTGGGTATCTTGGTAAAGTCACTCTTCTTCAACAGTGGTGATCAGTAGTAGTAGCACAGATGTTAACCTCCAAATATCCGATTACAGCGGTTTCGTCTTTGGCTCCCAGCTCTCAGCCCTTCCCTCAATTTTATACCACAGATGGATGGCTGAAACCCAAAAAGCTTGCAAAACGATAAGTAAGAGTTAACCCTACCCAACCCAGCCTGGGCCGGTATGTAACTCATTAAAGCAGGGTTCAACGTGCCTTACATACCCCCTCAGCAAGCTGTGTGCTAAGGGGGCAGAACCATGTGGGCATACTCCCCAACTGGGTTGTGTGTACATGTCCATAGACACACAAAGCCATGTCCCCCACTTCCTCCTCTCAGGATTTGACTGAGAGCAGCAGAAGCTTATGGCTCCCACTGCTGCCTGAAATCTCCTTCTGAGAGATCCCTAGGAAGAGGGAAGAGAAGGGTTGCAGACGGGACAGCGCTGGATTGTAAGAAGAGTACGATAACTGTTTAGGGACCGAGGGAGGGGGGACAAGCAGTGGAGAGTTTTTTACCGTAATGCAGAAAATGCATTAAGGTAAAAAAAATGGTGTAACTTTAGAACCACTTTAACACCTTCCTGCCAGGCCTATAGCAGATTGAATGGTCGGGCGGGACACTCCTCGTTGTGACTGGGCGTCATATGACGTCCTGTCAAAACAAGCCACTCACGTGGCCGAGTGGCCACGCAGAGATGACATATCACTACACCGGCCTGTTGCCAGTGTGGTGACCACTGCTAGCCTGCTAGCCTGTGTTTTAAAGTCCCCCAGCAGGGGGGTGGCTCTGAATAACTGACCAATACTCTGTTTAGGGAGGGATTGTCATAATCCATGATATGAAACATAGGGGACAAACTGACTTGAGGAATGTTCATTTAATTCTGTCACCTTAAGATGCTAGGCTTTATGAGGTTACAATCTCTTTCAATTCCTGGGAAAAGCTGCCTTATCTCGGTTACAAAGTGAGAAATTACACATGTCCTTGGGCAGCTAATCTCTGTTTCTCTTGGGGGGCTTTGTAGCTCTGGGCCCCCTGCTGCTCTACCTGCCAGTGACACTTTTAACACACACACATCTGTCACTGTGCCTCTCAGAAAGGGAGGGGGAAGGAGAATGAGAAATGAGAGACACAATATATACTCCATACCAAGATGGAAGTGCTTACAAAATGGTTGAACTGCGTACTTCACTGTGTTTTGCGCAGTTTTTTGCGACACTGGGTATCTTGGTAAAGTCACTCTTCTTCAACAGTGGTGATCAGTAGTAGTAGCACAGATGTTAACCTCCAAATATCCGATTACAGCGGTTTCGTCTTTGGCTCCCAGCTCTCAGCCCTTCCCTCAATTTATACCACAGATGGGATGGCTGAAACCCAAAAAGCTTGCAAAACGATAAGTAAGAGTTAACCCTACCCAACCCAGCCTGGGCCGGTATGTAACTCATTAAAGCAGGGTTCAACGTGCTTACATACCCCCTCAGCAAGCTGTGTGCTAAGGGGGCACCCATGTGGGCATACTCCCCAACTGGGTTGTGTGTACATGTCCATAGACACACAAAGCCATGTCCCCCACTTCCTCCTCACAGGATTTGACTGAGAGCAGCAGAAGCTTATGGCTCCCACTGCTGCCTGTGTCTTCTGAGAGACTAAGAAGAGGGAAGAGAAGGGTTGCAGACGGGACAGCGCTGGATTGTAAGAAGAGTACGATAACTGTTTAGGGACCGAGGGAGGGGGGACAAGCAGTGGAGAGTTTTTTACCGTAATGCAGAAAATGCATTAAGGTAAAAAAATGGTGTAACTTTAGAACCACTTTAACACCTTCCTGCCAGGCCTATAGCAGATTGATGGTCGGGCGGGACACTCCTCGTTGTGACTGGGCGTCATATGACGTCCTGTCAAAACAAGCCACTCACGTGGCCGAGTGGCCACGCAGAGATGACATATCACTACACCGGCCTGTTGCCAGTGTCATGTGACCACTGTGACCAATCACTGCAGATCACATGTCAGTTGCATACAATGGATGGCTTCCTGTCATGCCATCCATTGTATACAATTATGTTGTTAGCTGTGACTGGTCAAATCAGTCACATGATACAGACAGGGCCAATCACAGCCCATCTGTATCATGTGATGAGCTTTGCCCAATCACAGCTAATCACAACAAAAAACTGAATTAATCAGTTTCATTCAGTAACAATGAATGAATGAATAACAATGAAATACATTGGTATTAGCATCATAATGTGTTATTAGGATCATAATGTGTTAAAAAAAAAAAATCTTGATCACTTGCCCAGAGTAGTTCAGTGTTACTTTGGTAACATTGTATTGCTTTGGTCACAGTGTGTTGAAAAAAATAGTAAAAAAAAAAGAAAAACTAATGTAATAAAAAATAGAAAAATTAAAAAAAAAAAATACAAATTAAATTATTATTTTTATTTTTTATACATACTGTCACCAGTCACTGTCTCTGATCACTACCACACCAGTTATATAATAATGCTGTACTGGACTGGTGACAATATGTAAAAATAAAAAATTGTGATTTTTTTTTTTTTATTTCTACATTTTCCAAAAAATTGTAACAAAAATTACAACCTCCAAAAAACTCACCATGCCTCTTACTAAATACCGTGAACTGTATTATTTTCCAAAAATGGGTGATTTGTGATTTAGAAGGTATTTGTACTATCCTGGCATTTTCGGGCCTCAAGAAATGAGATGGGCCATCAGTACATCAGGATTGATCAATTGTCATATATATATCAGGTTTGTGGACTCTATAACTTTCCTACAGACTAAATAATATACACTAATTTGGGGTATTTTCACCAAAGAAATGTAGCAAAATACATTTTGACCTAAATTTATAAAGAAATTTTATTTATTTGCAAAATCTTATAAACGAAGGAAAAATATTTTTTTTTCAAAAGTTTCAGATTTTTTGTTTTATTTAGCAAAAAATAAAAAAACTCAGTGGTGATTAAATACCACCCAAAGAAAGCTTTATTTGTGTGAAAAAATCTAAAAATTTAATATGGTCATATGGGTACATTGTTGCATGACCGTGCAATTGTCATTCAAGTGCGACAGCACTGAAAGCTAAAAATTGGCCTGCGCAGGAAGGGGGTAAAAGTGCCTGGTATTGAAGTGGTTAACTAAATGATTAGTCTAACATCTGCATGCACAAAACTTCATATCTTTATGCTCATTTCATGGTGTAGTATGAGTTATTACTGTTATCTGAACATAGCACATGTGGTAATTACCTTCCAGATTGTTGTATACAGAGAAATCTCCCACATTTCCTTTCTGTCTGGGCTCAGGCCATATAAGCTTCCTTTGGGGCAGTTGTTCAGCCACAGCATGTCCGCTACAAATCCGAAAGCGGATGGATATGGGACAGATAGAGAGGCTAGAGTGATAACGTGTCTCAACCACTTTCACCATGATGGCTTATCTCACTGTAACAGAGACTGGATGTTGTGGAGGTTCCCACTTAGCTGCAGAGTGAAAAAAAGAGAAGTAAATGGATCTGCTAGAAGTGTTGCATAAAGTGATCTAGCTTAAAACTAAGCTTCAAGCAAGCAGCTAAATACAAAAGTTGAAATAAATGTGTGTGAACTGTTATACTTCCCAAAGGATTTGTAATTCTGTGCAGCCAGTCCATCATAAGTACAGGTATGACAATTGCCTAGCCCCTCTAATCAAAATTAACCAGCCCTTTACCACTTTAGAAGCATACTAAGGCTGGTCATACACTATACTATTTTCTGTCCAATTTCCTTTAGATTTACCTTCAACTATGTAGTGCAAGAGCCTGCCTCATTGGATACAACTGAAATTGTTATTAGTTTTGACCTCCTATTATATGCTTACCACACCACAGGCTATCCCTGCTTCAGTCTATCCTGAATACTGCGGCCAGACTCATCCACTTTACTAACCATTCCGTATCCACCACCCCCCTCTGCCAGTCCCTCCACTGGCTTCCGATTGCCCAACGCATAAAATTCAAATTACTAACATTGACATACAAAGCTGTCCATAACACTGCCCCAAACTACATCACTGACCTGATATCCTTATACGACCCAAAACGTACTCTCCTCTCCTCACAAGACCTCCTACTCTCTAGTTCCCTGGTCTCCGCCTCCCATGCCCATCTCCAGGATTTCTCCAGGGCTTCCCCCATCCTCTGGAACTCCCTACCCCAATCCAACAGACTATCACCTACTCTCCTCTCCTTTAGGCACTCCCTGAAAACCCATCTCTTCAGGGAAGCCTACCCCGCCCTCAACTAATTGCCGATCTCCTCCACTCTCCCTACCACTCCATCCCCCACAGCTATTTCCTCCTATACCACTATCCCCTTCCTCCTAGATTGTAAGCTCCAAAGAGCAGGGCCCTCTAACCCCTCGTGTATCGAATTGTATTGTTACTGTACTCTCTTGTGTACTGTCTCCCATTGTAATGTACAGCGCTGACCAAACTATTTCTGCTATATAAGTACTGTATAATAATAATAATATGGCTTTTGGTAAATCTAAACCAAAAATCTCAAGAAAATTGTATAATGTATGGCCAGCCTTACTATACCCTCACAACCATAATCTCTTGAAATCTTGCACATACTGGAGAACCACATTTTCTTGCAATGGCCACACCTGTACAGCCACTCCCTAAAGGGCCCACAATGGCCACACCTGTGCAGCCACTTCAATTGGCCCATCTCTCGAGTGTCCCCTGTATTGGTTGATGACCCCTTAGAAGTCTTTTGGTGACAACTGTGCAGGTGAAATCAGGGACAAGATTTTAGCCACTGGGATTTTAAGATTCTGGGAGACTGTGGCTGTGAGCTCAAGGTAAGTATATATCTTGGAATAGGGTTGCCATCTAATCCCTTTAATACCGAACACATATTAAATACACTGGTTTTCAGGCCAATTTAGTGCACATAAGGCACTTTAATTAAATGTAAGGCAATTAATATGTGTTCGGTTTTAAAGGGATGAAGTGGCAACCCTACTGGGGAAGGGGAAGGTGGGTTAAATTTTATTTGGGATCTATGCAGTTAAGATAATTGTACTTTATATATAAGTAGTTTTTTCTTTTTTGTATTCGTATTCATGAACCCTCTGTCCAAATACTTTTTAAGAAGAGAGTTGTAATTCTCTTCATTGCCTTTTATCAAATGAAAAAAAGCCATTCTCTGCAATAAACAAGCCTGTACTCTATATACAGTCAGGTCCATAAATATTGGGACATCGACACAATTCTAACATTTTTGGCTCTATACACCACCACAATGGATTTGAAATGAAACAAACAAGATGTGTTTTAACTGCAGACTCTCAGCTTTAATTTGAGGGTATTTACATCCAAATCAGGTGAACGGTGTAGGAATTACAACAGCTTGCATAAGTGCCTCCCACTTGTTAAGGGACCAAAAGTAATGGGACAGAATAATAATCATAAATCAAACTTTCACTTTTTAATACTTGGTTGCAAATCCTTTGCAGTCAATTACAGCCTGAAGTCTGGAACGCAGAGACATCACCAGACGCTGGGTTTCATCCCTGGTGATGCTCTGCCAGGCCTCTACTGCAACTGTCTTCAGTTCCTGCTTGTTCTTGGGGCATTTTCCCTTCAGTTTTGTCTTCAGCAAGTAAAATGCATGCTCAATCGGATTCAGGTCAGGTAATTGACTTGGCCATTGCATAACATTCCACTTCTTTCCCTTAAAAAACTCTTTGGTTGCTTTTGCAGTATGCTTTGGGTCATTGTCCATTTGCACTGTGAAGCGGCGTCCAATGAGTTCTGAAGCATTTGGCTGAATATGAGAAGATAATATTGCCTGAAACACTTCAGAATTCATCCTGCTGCTTTTGTCAGCAGTCACATCATCAATAAATACAAGAGAACCAGTTCCACTGGCAGCCATACATGCCCACGCCATGACACTACCACCACCATGCTTCACTGATGAGGTGGTATGCTTAGGATCATGAGCAGTTCCTTTCTTTCTCCATACTCTTCTCTTCCCATCACTCTGGAACAAGCTGATCTTGGTCTCATCTGTCCATAGGATGTTGTTCCAGAACTGTGAAGGCTTTTTTAGATGTCGTTTGGCAAACTCTAATCTGGCCTTCCTGTTTTTGAGGCTCACCAATGGTTTTCATCTTGTGGTGAACCCTCTGTATTCACTCTGGTGAAGTCTTCTCTTGATTGTTGACTTTGACACACACACATAGACATACCTCCTGGAGAGTGTTATTGATCTGGCCAACTGTTGGGAAGGGTGTTTTCTTCATCAGGGAAATAATTCTTTGGTCATCCACCATAGTTGTTTTCCGTGGTCTTCCGGGTCTTTTGGTGTTGCTGAGCTCACCGGTGCTTTCCTTCTTTTTAAGAATGTTCCAAACAGTTGTTTTGGCCACGCCTAATGTTTTTGCTGTCTCTCTGATGGGGGTTTGTTTTGTTTTTTCAGCCTAATAATGGCTTGCTTCACTGATAGTGACAGCTCTTTGGATCTTATCTTGAGAGTTGACAGCAACAGATTCCAAATGCAAATAGCACACTTGAAATGAACTCTGGACCTTTTATCTACTCATTGTAATTGGGATAATGAGGGAATAACACACACCTGGCCATGGAACAGCTGAGAAGCCAATTGTCCCATTACGTTTGGTCCCTTAACAAGTGGGAGGCACATATGCAAACTGTTGTAATTCCTACACCGTTTACCTGATTTGGATGTAAATACCCTCAAATTAAAGCTGACAGTCTGCAGTTAAAGCACATCTTGTTCGTTTAATTTCAAATCTATTGTGGTGGTGTATAGAGCCAAAAATTTTAGAATTGTGTAGATGTCCCAATATTTATGGACCTGACTGTAACACATATAACAGTCAGCACAAGAACTTCAACCAGATACTATTGCTAAACAATGCCCACAGAAAGGTATTAGTGAAAAACTGAATGGGCCAAAGAGTCAAGCTCAAAAAGGTGCCATCATGTGAGAATACTAGTCACTGCCGCTGCATAAGCACTAATTTAGTGAAGCCATAGGTTCAGGAAAAAACAGCGCTGTGAAAGTGTAATAAATAATAATTACCTCCCAAGGTGGTACATCCAAGAGTGTAGTGGCAAGGACAAGGTAGGAGAATCGT